CAGGAACCGATGCGGTTGTGGGGTGGGGTGGGGTGGGGTGTGGGCTGGGCATCCGTTTGATGATGAGGCGTGGTGTGGCTGGGGAGGGAGGAGCGTCGTGGTTGGCCGTTCATGTGGAGCCACGAGGGCTCCGCCCCGGCCACGCCGTGGACGCGTGCAGACATGAGTCACACCTCAGGTCCTGGGCCACTCCCCCTGAAATGCGCCGCAAACACACCAGTGAACCCCACCACCCAGCCCCTCCCTACCACCTCAAAAAATATCGTGCCCCATCGTATCCCCTGTGCATATTCCTGACCCGGGACCCCCATAACAGGGCCCCACGATGCTGGTGGCTCTCCGCCTGCCCCTTTACCTCAGCATTTTGCCATGCCCGCCCATCCCCCTGGCACACACATCCCACATACATACACACACACACACACACACACACACCTGCTTTCACACGCACACACACCCCGCACACCCCACCTCCAGGTTCTGCCCCGTGGTCTCCCCCACGTGCCGCATGATGGAGTGCACCATCTTGGACTTATTGAAGCGGTCCTCGCACGCACTGATGTCCTCGGGGCTCACACGCCTTTTTTTTTGGGGGGGGGGACGTGTGAGTGTTGAGTGTGTATATGTGCGTGTGGGTTGAGTGTGTGTGTGTGTGTGTGTGTGTGTGTGCGCGCGCGCGTGCGCATGTGTGTGTGGGGGGGGGGGGGATGGGGGGTGATTGTGTGCGTGAGCGCCGTTGTGTCCTTGGTGGGTTGGAGGGGCGTTTGACCGTCTGGGCGGGGCGGCGGCGCGCACCCGGGCGCACAGACTGGTGCCGGGCCAGGCGCCGTCGGCAGGCAGGGGCAGGCGCACGGACAGGAGGGGCTGTAACACGGCCCCGCCCGGCAGCCGAACTTCACGTCCGTGCCGCCGCGCACGCAAACAGAGGGCCTGCCCGGCGTGCTGCCCCGCCCCGCCTGGCGCCGCTGCTGTTGCGCGCCCCAGCATTGATTACTAGCGCCCTCACCGCTTCGACAGATCAATGTATCCCTTGTCCTTATCCACACGAAGCACCATAACTGGTTCTTGCCGCCCAACCTGCAGAGAGGGCGGGACGTCGTGTCAGATCGCACCAGGTCGGGCCATGTGTTGGGCAGGGGCCCGAGCGCGCGCGCCCCTCATGGGCCGCGCCCGCCGCAGTCCCCGCCGCGGCCGCTGGTGTGCGCACGCCTCCAGACCCTCCTCATCGCCCGCGGCGCGGCTGCAGCCCCCTCCTTCCACCCCCGCAAACCACCTTCCGAAAGCCCCGCCCCGCCGGGCTCCCAACTCCTCCCCAAAACAGCCCCGGCTCTTTAAGCTGAGAGGCATCAACGCCAATATTCAATCTGAATTCTCGCGGCGCGCCTTGATGAGCTTGGTGATGGAGCGGATGCGCCGCCGCGACAGCTCAGACAGCAGGATCATGCCCTCTATGCCGTTGTACTCCAGCAGGGACACATACGCACCCATCTCCGCAATAGACTTGACCTGCGGGGCGGCGACGGCGGCTGAGGATTGAAACAGGCTCGGCTCTTGCATGCGCGCCGCCTGCGTCGCTGCGCCCGCGCGCGGGCATGGGGATGCGCGAAGGCCGCCGCCCGCGGCGGGGCTGCCAGATGGAGGTGGGGGCGGCTGCCTGCTTGCAAGGGCGTCCGGCGCCGCGGCTCCAGAGGGCTCATGCCGCTGTGGACAGCGGCGTGTGCCGCCCATTCGCAGTGCGACCCACCTGCACCCTGCGGTGGTGGCGGCGGGGCCGAGCGGGGCGGCGGGCGGTCGGCGGGAGCTGGCGAGGGGGAAAGAAGCGTGGCAGGAAAGCGCTGCTGCGGCCAGCGTTGGCCTCGGTACTGCGCCGCCTGCAGGTCTCAATCCTCAGCAGCAGCACCAGCCCCCAGCAGCCCCTGGGGGCTGTCTGCCCCAATCCGAATCCCACACCCACCCAACCCAGACCACGCAGCCGCGGCCGCGGCTCACATGACTACATCGTCAACCTCTGGGTACTTCTGCTCGTACATGCGACAGTCCTGGTGCTGACTCATGGCTGCTGCGTGCTGCTGCTGTCTGCGCCTGCTCCGACACGGGCGAGCGCGGGGGCGTGCAAGCAAGCGGGTGGGCGGGTGGGCCGCAACCAGCTGAGCGCCCAGCGCCCAGCACACACGCCCCACCGCTGCCTGCTCTGCAGGCCACGGCGGCTCGGGCGGAGCTGACAAAAGGCGTCTGGGCCTGCATGCACTTTCATCGCTCCGCAGCAGCAGCAGCAGCATCGAATCGGCAGCGCGCCGACGCCTATGTCGCATGCAGCGCGACAATGCCAGATGGCACTGATCAAGGCCGCGACTGCCTTGACCGTATATTTGGACGACAATAACCAGGATAGCATGGCTGCCATCCATTGCTCCTACTGCATCTAGGACGCTGCTGTCGAACCTGCCACAATCTCCACGCTCACCGTCTGGCAACTGAACACGACTACTTGATTGCTGAAATCGCTCGCGCGACCTCGTGCAAGGCTTCGCCAGCGGTTCTACTCTAGTGCGACTCTGATCTCGAGCCGGCCGCCGCACACAGCGCAAGATGAAAGCAGAGTAATCAAGCTTGGAGTGTTGAGCGTAAGTGTCCTCTCAGCCGTGGGCATGCCAGCCAGTTGTTGCCACACGACCAGGGAACGAGGAGGCAGTGCATGCTGCTGCTGATTCGTGCTCATGCCCCCGTCCGGGCTGCGACTGGTGCAGCAATAGAGGGCATGTGTAGGGTCACTCAACATGGCCCATATATGATACACATGCTATGGTGAAGAGACCATCCGCCTTGCGTGCTTTGTGCAGGCTTGATGGTGGGCGGATATCATTAAACGTCAATTTAACCGCGAGCCCAGGGCCCAGCCACGCATATTTGTTTGCATGTTTCGGAGCAGTGACTAGAGGCCACAGGAGTGACAGGAGATGGGAGCGCACTGAATCAGGTCAATCGTGGAGGCTAGTGCGCTCCCTGACACACGCACATGCACTGAGCGTTTCATCAAGACCCACCAAGCGGGTTGCTGCTTTGCGGCCTGGTGCAATACCTGTTTGAACACGAGGTTCGCGCGTTGCTTTCTCCTCCCCTGCCGGAACGCAACCATCCGGCATCAGTCAACCAGTCAAAGCTTGCCCTTTGCCTTCACATAGAACGCAAACATGCAGTTGCGGGAATGTGTCATCCTTGTGAAAACGCAGCTCTGACCATTATACATACGCAGACGCCTTCAGACCCTCGACATTGAGAGGCACTCCGCGACGGCGTAGCCAGGCGGCCAGGGGGTGGCGATTGACCGCGAGCGACACAAGCAGCGCACCTCATCGAGCCAGCTGCAAGGTGTGTATGTTGGAAGGATCAACTTTCTGGAGCAATGAAAATCAACTCGGGCTGTTCACGGCGGCCCATCCGTGCAGAGCGTGCTTGAGTAAAAAAAGGCTGAGAAACGTGACCCATTGCACACCAACACAGACGTCGCACGTGCTTGACAGAGCATACGTCAGCTCTGACTCGCCATCTACACGCGGGAACGCCGGGCGCAAAAAGACCTAAAAGCCAGATCACGCGATGCTGGCTGGCTGCTCTACATCCAGGGCCTGTGCGCGCAGGTGCGGTGATAAGGATGCTGCTAAAATCTCTCTTACCTGAGATAGGTGGCTGTTGGTGCTCACGTGACCGCACGTTCCACCTCAGTGTGCGCTGCACAGCCCCCGCCCCGGCGCTCGCCCAAGCCAGCCGCTGGAGCAGGCTTGCCGCGCGTTCAGGTGGGCGCGGTCCATAAATCGGTGGCGGTGCATGTGCACACCTACTCACCAAAACGGCGCTGGCTCCCAACAGCTGGACGGCAGCGCTCCCGCAACACGCGCCGGCAGTCAATCTGGGCCCGCACCCTCACAGCAGTTACCTACGCCCCCTCTGCGGCTGCAGGCGGCAAGTCGGCCACATATGAGGAGCTGGAGGCCATCCACTGCGACCTCTCCGCCTTCCCAAACTGCACCTTCTTCCGCGTAGAGGTGTTTTGCCCCGCACGGCCCCCTCCTCCCCCTGGGTCACACTGGGGCACCACCCCTTTGGGTCGCCTGCCTGCGTCGGCCTGCCCCGCGCAGGCGCAGACGGCCGCGCCGCGTTGCGCCAGGAGCGCGGCGCCGCCTCTCAACATAGGCCCCCCACAACCGCAACCCCCATCCTCAACCC